ATTATTTCATTATTGATGTTAAATTCATAATAATAATTGTTATATGTATGTAAGAATAATGAATTTTTATTTTCAAAATATGATTATATTTGCTGATAAAATAAGTTCTGTTGTTTTTCACGTATGAAAAGGATAGATAAATAGGGAAACATATTATATTCAATATATCACAATATTATTAGAAAATCTTTAGTATACTCAGCTCCATACATCACGTTCGATTAATAACCCAATTTCAAAATAATTCCGCATGATGAATCTGGATTAAATGTAAATAAATTATTGAGTGGAGCGTGTTTCTGCGAAGCCGCCTTGATTATTTCCTGAGCCACGATACCACCAACGACAGAACAAACTGGACTGAGTTGTCCATACAAATCACTCCTATAATTACAAAAATATTATTATACATGTAAACTTTTTGATCGATTAATTTACGTGTCAAAGCTGTCATACATACTCTACTAAATTATTTATTTTATCGCCTAACTCATATTTTTTAATAATGGCAGAAGCTTCATTTTTCAGGTTTTCACAACCTCTTTCATTAGGCAATGGATCTTCACCATACTTTTCACGATAATTCAGCAATACTAAAAAAATTTATTATTTAGACTATCTTTAAATATAAATCTTTACTTTTAAAAAAAATTTCTAATTTTAAAACATACTTAGCATCATATAGTAGATGTCTTCCTCCTTAGTTAAAGATGTTTTTGGAACATTTAGAATAAATTCAAATGGTACAAAAGTTTCCGTGCGCTTTTCACTAACTATTATGGTTTCAATCTTTTCTTTACCCACAGGTTCACCACCTTCCGGTATTGTGACTTTCTTTGATTTTGACACATCCCTAAAAGATTTTCCATTATTTATTTACAAGACATTCACTCTTAATATGTCAAATTCAAAAATATAAATGTACGCACTCTACATATTCATGTTCTTGTAAATCTATAAATACATAACCAAGTCCTCCCCATACATCCCCAGCAAAGAATTTGACTTTTTGATTTCTGCACGCTCGATTAATCCTCTTTAGCTGGGTAATAGTACAATGCATAGCACATACTATATCAAACTGTCCAAAATATTCATCAGGCTTATCGTCAACCTTGTCTGAATCTGCATTAACATTAACCATGGGATTCAAGTTTTGCGCTCTTGGCAATGATGCTTCAGCTTTCTGTAAGCAAATAATTATTTCAGTACATATTTATTCGTGCGGCAAAGTAGTATAATCTACTATTTAATATTTACATTCTTTCCAATATCTTCTTTTGGAATAAAGAACTGCGAACATCTATCCAACTCGATTGCATTTCTATGGTCCAAAAATGTAACGCTTTTAACTCCAGCTAGAATAATGTTTTTAGCAATTTCTGCTCCGAAACCATCTAATCCTATCAAAAGAATTTTTGCAGCTCGCAATCTGTGAAAAATATAGATAAAAAACATTCAAGAAAATAATATTTAACAAAAATTTTTATAAACTATTCTAAAATGTTAGATCTGTTTTTCCCTGCATTAAACTGCACTAGAATTTTTTTCATTTTCATTAAATATATATAAAAAATATATTTATTATACTGTTATAAATTCCGAAAGTATATATTATACTAATTCAGTTGATAGAAAACAGACTTATTTCTGTTTTTTAAAAGATATATATATGTACGTAATCGGCAAAGAGCAAAGAAAAACAAATTACGTCCAAAAATTAATTCTAAAAATCTTTCTATAGCCGTTGCATATCGCACTTGTAATTTGGGATTTTCACAAAATGCCGGTATTGATTCCGAATTATTGTATTCATAAATTTACGAGACCTACCGTTTCTGTGAATCCAAGCCCCACAGACGAAGTTGCCTATCATATAACTCGGCTTCATGATCCGTCAACTCTTCCGTTTGTTTGTGATCCAACATTGTAACAGATTATTTATTTTTCACTAAAATACTCACGAACCACCGCCAAAAAAGAAGCGTCCCAGAATATTTTCGATATATAACCAATATAGCGTCAATCTAAACCGCCTATGAGCATAAATGTAATAAAGAACTACTAACTGCGTTCAGAAAACAATAATTTCGACCAAACTTCGATTAACTTAAAAAATTAATTTAACAAATAATACTTGCAATATTACTGTTGTCAATATAAATAAAATTATTAATTTTTATTACCTCATGTATCAAGAATAAAATTAGATTTAAAGTAATATACAATAATAACGAATTATCTTCATAGTCTATGATTGGTGCACTACATTCACCAATCAGATCTACTTTCCAAAAGACGATCATATTGTATTTTCTGAACGCAGATTGTCTATTTTCACGGAGAAACGGGTGATATAGAAAAGAGGAAGGAGGAAAGGATATAAAAAATTGTTGATTATCACTGATTGTCACGTAGATAGTGTGTTTTCAGATACTGGAGAGACGCGAGATATAAACGGTATCCATTTCGAATTTATATAAAAATCTACATTTAAAAAATCGTCAAATCGCATTGTCTGTCCGACAGTGCAAAAAAATCTCTGCGTATAAGTTATAGAGGTTATGTTCATTATAACAAGTTGACAGATTGTTACAATCGAAACATACAATAATCGAATAACATATCAAAATCAGTAGAACAATGAGTGTTAGTACATATTCTCTATTAACATGATGTATTCCTCCTTCCTTATTTTTATGATATTGTAAAACATGGGAAAAATGTATATCAAATGATTAAATGGAATGAAAGAACCTTGCAAGAAATTGTGATAAATGTATAAATGTAAAAATAATAGATATAAACGAAAAAAAAATTAGCTTGTCATGAAAAACATTGTAACGACATCTAAAATATAGTCTACATTTTTTTTATTCCTATAAACTTTGAATTAATTAAATTAATTTTACTTCTTTATTTTTTTTATTTTCTCAAAAGTCTTTTAATAGATAAATTATAGTGAAGCATCTTTTCGAAGATACATTTGGAGAAG